ATTTGCTTCAGGGTTTAGCTTCTAGTGATGTTCAGATCGGCCAGTCTAGTGAAGGTTTCTTTGTGGAAAGCAGACGCAATTATAGGTCACCTTTCCCAGCCGAATTCACATTGGTAGGCCTCGCCGGTTAAAAGGCGTACTGTGTATGCCCAAATGTAATCTACTGCACCGCGCCTTATTCACTGTAGCCGCTTCGAGCTGAAGGAAACCAGGTCAGTAGATGACGTCGAGACAAAGCATAAAGAAATGCACGCAGTCGGTGGCTAAAGCCTTCTAGGTTGGGGTCGAAAAAAGCGCAACCGGTCAGTTGGAGAGACTGTTTCACCCCCTTTTCACTATGTTCTGTACCCCAATCTACCTATCCCGTTTTATGGTTATTGTTATTATTTTTGTTGCGTTGGCACTATGCTTGTCTTCGAGCCGGTGGTAGATATATATATGACAGAGAGCCAACAGCAGCGGTATTCTTTTTGTCATTTCTCATCTCATTTGAAAGCTTGAAACGGTATCGGTGCATAGTTAAATTGTTTGTCGTGTGTTGACCAAATAGATTCACTTTTCTTCTCCCAGTCTCTGTCCACGGCACACATTCCCACTAACTTTGTACACAATGCGCGTTTGTCAGTGGTCAATGTAATTCACTTCACCGCGTTCCGTAGTAGGATGATTATGATGATTAGCAGGCCAGTTTTTATTTCGGGTGACGAGCGTTATATCCGCTCTAGCACCCCGGGCCTTAGACTTAACCTTTTTACCTTTTCTCAGGTTTGCTTTTGGCGAACTTGGTTCATCACCGACGCCAGTCACTGGTTTTTGCCGTTGGTACGATCGCCAATACCGGGCTCCTGATAACGGTATCCGTCACGTGGTTTTCCGCATTATTCTGTTACACGGAAAATTGGAGTCCAAACGCCTATCTTCGTAAGCAGCTATTAGTTCTAACCAGTTTCCTGGAGTCAGAAAATGACCACGGCCGACTGGTCCTCTTGAAATACATCCATTACATGCCTATAAGTTGGGCACTTGAGAGATAGTTACCTCTGTACAAGGACGTGAAAAAATGGGAACGTGTTGAGCCACAGAGCAAAGACAATTGTCAAATTTTAACAATGAGAATTTGGATAAAACATGTTGGATACATATATGATCATTTATAGTCAATACTATAAATCAATTTAACACATATCCACTGTTCACAGTTTGTTTGCTAGTATTCCTATGAAAAGAGCTCTCTCCAAAAGCTAACTTATTCAGTCGTATGTCTTGCGTGTGAAACCAGAATTGAAATATGTTAATGTCATTCGCTATACGACTAGGGAGCTTATATAACTGGAGAGAGCTTAGCATTCCACGACTGTATTAGAGGACGGATCATGAGGAAGAAGATACACTGGCTGCCTCTTGATTTGTTTCTTAGGGGCTACGTCGGTTGAGAGATAATCTGCTACCCGCCTGGAAAACTCTACGCGAGGATTTGACTCCATTTGCAACCTGATTACCACCTTCAGAAAATGAAAACAATTAGTTTCGAGGGCACGGGTTTAGCTTCAGGTTGTATAACCATTACCCAGTCAGTTTCATGAGCCGGTTTCGGTTGCTGTCTTTTGGCTACCCAGTTGGATGAACATTAGGAGATAGACACGGAAGTTAAAAGTAGAGTCGCAGAAAAAAGAGAATTTCAGTTGACTAAGGCAGTAAATAAATTGAGGTGTACGAACGCCATTGTTTACGACATGGTCATACCACTCAGTTTCTGTAACCATCGATCACAATCACTCCGAGGTTCCCGGCCAGGGAGAATAACGGAACCTATATAACCCAGTCTCCTGGTTAGGGTTTTAAACTCGTGTCTTCGTTAAACCACCTTTGGTTTCTTCCCACCCACTACCTGCCTCGGCAAACATTGCTAGCCGTGGAAGCCTATTTGGTGACATGAGTAATGCATGGCCCAACCAACCTAATCCATAGAGGTCGACCACTTGCTCCATTAGGCGACCGGGGTTGCCCAAACTTCAAATTCATGCAATGCTGCGTAGATAGCAGAGTTCGAACACCGACAGTCTATTTTTATTCTGATTTTTTAATGGCCAAGTTTCCGCGCTGTATAGAAGAACTGATTGAGCCGCCGCGGCATACGCTCGACACTTTACAGACAGCTGGGTGTGACGGCGGTGCCACAGATGTCTGAAGTTGACAAATGTCGATCGAGGCTTCTGTATGCGAGCTGATACTTCATCTGTGGATCGTCACTGGGTAAGATATAGCTATCCAAATAACAAAGCTTGTCCACTTCCTCTATTACCTCCCCAGTTAGAGGCTGGGTGCTAAACCAACTCAATCTTGTAGCATTTTACACCTAAAGGGTGTAAAACGCATACCGAACATGGCTACGCTGGTCATCAAGCTATCCAGAAAAGCTTGCAACCTACCTGGATCTTCGAAGATTCAGGTAAGTTAATTCACTTAGCAATACAATGTCACCTTCATACTTCAGATCAGACAATCTGCCGTCAAGAAACAAATCGATGTCACCATCTTCGCACGAGGATAGGGCTGGTTCTAGCAAACTGCTAGCAAACGTGCTCCTAGAATACAGGTACAGTTCTCATAGGCTGTTAATTTATCAAAGGCTTTTTTGCACTTTTGTCCTCGCGGAAGGTTTGGTTTCATTAGTCTCTGTTTTATCAACCCGAAACACTTTTAGTTCGAATCACCTGGTTCATCAGTAAATTTGCACGCATAATAACCCGATCATTCCCTTTCCAAAAACCATATTCCTGAAATCGGTTTCCGATAGTTATTCCCTTGAAACGATGGTCGAAATAACATATCTTTTTTTAACTAGATACGTAGCAGGCTCAGGTTGATTTGTAAGATTTTATAAAACCACAAACCCTTCGGATTAGGACAGCATGTGATCATTTAGTAGAGTGAGAATAAAGGAGACATGAGAGCAGGAAGGCGAAAGATGGAGATGGCAGCGAAAAGCTCGACGCTGTGCTGACATGGTAAAGCGGTGGTCCAAAGAAGCAAACAAGAAAGAGCACAAAGGGCACAATAAGAGACCAACAAAGGGACAAGTAGAGATAAAAGGCTAGTAGCTCGTAGCTACTAACTAGTGTGGTGAAGTGCTTCGCTAGAGGCGAAGGATCGATGGGTCCCCATAAACTTAGAAAAGTGAAGGCTCAAACCTATTTTAGCTAATTTGTGAACAAGATTACGTATTTTGGATTCGGTAATATTTCGAACAAACATGACTGCTGCTTTTATAGACCACGTTTTTAATTAAATACCCGTTCATAAACTACGAGCATAGAAATAAAATTTTATTTTGCAT